ATTTTGTCAACACATTAACTTATTGATGAGCATTTGGATTGTATCCGGTTTTGGCTTTTACAAATGAAGCTGCTGTAAATATTCATGTAAATGTCTTTGTATGGACACATGATTTTGTTTCTCTGGGGTAAATATCTAGGAATGGAATGGCTGGATCATATGGTAGGTATATGTTTACATTTTTAGATCTGTCTTCTACAATGATTGTGTCATGTTACATTTCCGTTATCAGTGCATGAAAAGAAACTATATTCCTTTTGGTGCAGCAATCTACAAGTCTTAGTTATTTTAAGTTGGCTGATTGTATTTTTAAAATTTTTTATATACTCAGTGAGTTTTTTTGTCCTATTGGTATTTCAGTATAGGAGAACAGTGTTAACCATTCCACAATTGTGACTTTGTCTACCTCTCCTTAGCTCTGTTGATTTTTGCTTCATGTATTTTAAAGCTCTGAGATTAAGTTCACTCACATTTAAGACTGTTAGGCCTTTTTGATGAATTTAGTTTTTATCCTTATAAAATGCTCTTCTTATTTCAGGTAATACTTGACATCTTGTTTCTGAGATAGTAATACAGCCATTTCAGGGAACTTATAATTATTATTTTTATGGCATATCTTTTCCCATCCTTTTCCTTACAAGCTATCTGTGTATTTGTAAATAAAGTGTTTTTTTATAGAGAGTACATAGTTGGGTTAAGTTTTTAAATAAACTCTGCCTATTATTTGTAGTGTCTCATTAATGTCATTTTAATGCAATGATTCATCTGGTTGAATTTACTTTGGTATCTTGAGTCTACTTCTTTCCCCATACTCTCCTGTTTATCATTGTACTAATAAAAATAGAATTTTTTTAGAGTCACATTTTCCCTTTTAGTCACTCAATATGGCACTTTGTTTGTTTTTAGTGATTGCTCTAGTGATTTTGAGGTGCATCCGTCACTTGTCACAGCAGTCTACTTGAATTACCGTTATATCACTTTATCCGTATTGTAAGAAGTTGACTACCAGATACTTCCATTTCCCACATCCCGTTATTTCTGCCATTATCATCATGAATTTTACTTCTACATATGTTATATATCCCATAACACGTTGTTATTAAAGCGTAAACAGTAGATTGTTTTACAATATTAATAAAAACACAAAAATAGCTTTTTATATTTACCTATAAATTTAATATTTCCATCTCATTTCATTATGTTAGGAAGATTCACACGTCCTTCATTCTGAAGATTTCCTCCTTAGTATTTTTGTAGTGCAGTTATGCTGTTGATTAATTCTCCTACTTTGGTTTATATTACCCTTTTTTTTTTTTTTTTGAGGAAGATTAGCTCTGAGCTAACTGCGGCCAGTCCTCCTCTTTTCACTAATGGAAGACTGACCCTGAGCTAACATCCATGCCCGTCTTCTTCTACTTTGTATGTGGGACGCCTACCACAGCATGGCGCGCCAAGCGGTGCCATGTCCCCACCCGGGATCCGAACCGCTGAACCCTGGGCTGCCGAAGCGGACTGTGCATAGTTAACCACTGCACCACCAGGCCGGCCCCCTGTATTACCCTTGGTTTGAAGGCTATGCAATTATAAATTGAAAGTTTTCCTCTCAGAATTTTAAGTATGTCGTTCTATTGCCATCAGTCTTACATTATTTCTGATGAACATTTAATGGATATTCTTATTGTTTTCCTTTTCCTCTGGTGAGTTTTAACATTTTCTCTTTATATTTTATGTTTAATAATTTTACAGTAACATGCATAGATTTTGTTTGTTTGTTTTTGTCTTGATTAGTGTTTGTTTAGAGTCTTTTTGGGTGTGATATTTTTGGGAAAATTTGAAAAACCATTGGCTATTATTATTATTATTATTTTGCTGAGGAAGATTTGCCCTGAGCTAACATCTGTGGCAGTCTTCCTCTATTTTGTATGTTGGTCGTCTCCACAGCATGGCCGCCGGGAGTGGTGTAGGTCCACTCCTGCAAACCAAACCCAGGCTGCCTAAATGGGGCATGCTCACCTTAACTACTAGGCCACAGGGCCAGCCTTGCCCATTATTTTTTAACCCAATCTTTCTCTTCTTTCTTTCTGGGACTCCAGTTATACATATGTCATACTACTTGAGATAATCCCACAGTTATTGAAATTCTCTTCATTTTTAAAATTGTTTTTGCTACTGTTGCTGTTATCTGTGCTTTAATTTGGATAATTTCTATTAAACAATCTTCAAAGCAAATGATATTTTTTCTGTAATGTTCAATCTTTTGATAAAACCATTCTGTGATTTTGTTTTGTATTTCAGTAATTATACCTATTCAATTCTAAGAGTTTCATTTGGTTCTTTTTAAATTTCTATTTCTTTGTTGCATTTTACCATGTGGTCATTGAAATATTTGATTTAGGGGGCCGGCCTGGTGGTGTAGCTGTTAAGTTTGCTCGCTCTGCTTCAGTGGCCCAGGGTTCTCCAGTTCGGATCCCAGGCATGGACCTATGCACTGCTTATGAAGCCTTGCTGTGGCAAGTGTCCCACATATAAAACAGAGGAAGATGGGCACAGATGTTAGCTCAGGACCAATCTTCCTCAGCAAGAAGAGGAGGATTGGTGGCAGATGTCAACTCAGGGTTAGTCTTCCTAAAAAAAAAAAAGAAAAGAAATATTCAATTTAGGCAATGATCATCAATAAGTGGTAAAACTTTCAAAGAAAAGGTGACTAGAAAATTCATAATAAATAATCCAACTGACACTACATGAATCTACTAATGCATCTAATAAACAAAAACAACTTCAATATTAGAAACAAAATGTAAAAAAAACTAGGTATTTTATGCCTCTGAATATCATGCAATAGGAAATGTACAGCACCAGCTATGAGCTTTTTGATAAATATTTAAAATTGCATCTAATCAAGTCTTGACCAGTTTATAGGAAATAAAGAAACACGTTAAAGCACACTATGGGGATGCATGTACAAATTCCATAATGTAGGAAACTCTACAGGATAAATGACCTTGTTTGTTCAATATATAAATGGAAAGGAAAATTAAATTTAGAGTGATGACACCTATGCACTAAATGAGACTTAAAGAATGTAGCAACAAATTGGATTGTGTGGACATAGTTGAATCTTGATTCAAAGATGTTTAAAGATTTTTATTTTGAACACATTGAATATTTGATTAAAGACATTCTTAGGGGTCGGTCCTGTGGCTGAGTGGTTAAGCTCTTGCGCTATGTACCGGGGGGATTTGGGGAGATAAAGCAGAAAAAAAAAAAGACATTCTTAATTTTTAATATTCAATTTTGATTCTTAAAAGGGTACACACACACACATATGTATTTGTGCTTGAGTGTGTGTGAGTGGAATGAATGGTTAAAATGATGATATTTGAAATTTGCTTAAATATCAGGTAGTGGGTATGTATACAGATGAAATTATATTGGCCTTGTCTTGATAATTTTGAAGTTGAGTAATGATGCATAGGTTTTCATTATACTGTTTTCTCTATTTTTAAATGTATGAAAAGATCATAATATAAAGTTAACATAAATGTTATTTACCCAATGTTATAAGTGTAAGTTATAAGTATAACTTTTTATCACTCTTACTGATAGTTTTCCAAATTTATACAAAATATCTTTCTCATAAAGAAAATTATACTCATTCCAAATGTCTTCATTATTCACTGGCTACTAAAAATACAAATTTCAGCAATTTCTAAACAAAGACATTATTTGAATTTCAAATATTCAACATAAGGATGAAATTCATCTTTAATTTTCACTGCAGCTAATTTTCTTCATGACCTTCATTAGGTAAACTTATAACAAAAAATACATCTGCTTAAAGAAACTACAGAGGGACCACAGAATTCCCATTTATGACAATGTGTTCTTTCTTAATTAGGTGTTTTTTTAACAACTCTTCCTAACAAGAGCCAAAGACCTAAAAAAATCTCTCAGGGGACATTAATAAATACGTGGAGAAAATTCAAACAAGATCATATAGAAAATTTCTAACCACAATAGGGACTCTGGTTTTTCTGTTGATTATGACAATAAACTCCATTGTAAATCTGACAAAATTATTTTTCTTCATGAGTCCCAAAGAAATGCATCCAGTTTGGTTATACGGAGGTGCTAGGTAGACGTGGGTAATGCAAAGGTATTCAATTTCATATAAGGGTTAGAATTACTAATCATTTCAAAGAGAGTCGGTTTGATCAATATCAGACACATAGAAAGTTTTAAATGGAAAAAGTAGTTTGGGTTTTTTTGTTTTAATATCTAAATACTAGAAGATAACTTTCATCTCCATCTTCTGTCTTATAAACATTTGGCCATTTTTACCCAGGGACTATAATTTTTTATTTAGTTTCTAAAAATGGCATTATTTCTTTGTTAAGATGAAAAACGCTTCATATTTTTTGTTATGTAAAATGGTAAATATCTTGCACAGGCTTTCTATTCACAGCGTGTTTTATAACATCGGTATAACTAATTATTAAATCTTCCAGATTTAAACTGAATTGTCATTTTGTCTATTTAATTAACCATGCAAAGTACCATAATTTGGAAAATTAGATCAAAAAAATTATTTCTATTGAAAAAGAGGAGAAATATTGCATTTTCCCCCTGGTAGCTTTAATGGGATACTTTGAGTTTTACTGAGGTAGAAAGGAAGAAGTATGCAGGTTAAATTAAAAAAAAAAAAAAAAACTATCTTAATGTCAGCTATCAGTCAACAAGATTGCCAGAGCAACGTGTCAGCCTTCAGGGAGATTTGTGACTACAGCTTAAAATGGACAGTGCTTGAGCAGAAATTTATAATTATTCCATCCAAATTATTGCTGAACTATCAAATAGAATTAAGTAGCATAATTGGAAGATAAATTAAATATATATTTTTTCTTCTATTTTTACAGTTGCAAAAGTTGTATCCTTTAGCAATTATGTGAGAAAATGCTATTTTTAAAATGTCAAGTTTTGTTTTGTTTTCTGTTCTTTAGGAATATGAAAGATACTTGAGTTAAAAGGATCATAAAGGAACATAAGATTTCGTTTGCAACACGCTGTTTCCTCTGAAGAGTATGGGTTGGAATCAGAAGAGCAGAATGAATTTTTCCTTATTGCTACCTTCTTTGTTGGGAATTTCTCTCCTATGGCCTTGTCTTCCAGCAACAGAAAACTCGAAAACAGAGAAAGTTAAGCACTCAGCAGGACCTCATTTGAGAGTGAAGCGTGGCTGGATGTGGAACCAGTTTTTTGTACCAGAGGAAATGAATAGGACTAGTTATCGCATTGGCCAGGTACTGATTTTCTGAAAGTGTCATAGGAAAGAACATTGCATAAATCTAAATGAATGAGTTGAGGAAGTTTTGGTATTTGATACTTTCTACATTTTCTCGGTGGAACCTTTCGAAACTTCAAACACCAGCATAATTAATTGTTTCAGATGTGCCAACACCTAAAATATCCACAAAAATTTGAGGTAGAGGGAAAGCTCCGATTTTCAAATTTCACTTTAGTCTTCCATACCTATGAAAGCACAGCCCTCATTTATCACCATCTGGAAGTTTGATGGCGCTATATATTTGGTAATGGATCACAGCTACCATACTGAGAACAAAAATGTTTACCAAGAGTGTTTAGTCTGATTTTCTATTATACTAAGTAGGTGTTGATTTACCCCTCATTAATTTTTAATGAAGCATATTAATACCAAATCCTTTTACAGTTAAGTCACTTCAAGAACCTACACAGTTCATTTCATTAGTGAAGTTGAAGTGCAAAGAATAATTATTTTCACTTTCTTATAAAAAATATATTTAAAAAAAGTTTTCTTAATGAGACAGAACATTTCCTATTTATATTTTTCGTTTTTATTATTATTTGATTTTCTTTAAACAGAGGTAATTACAATATGTCCTTTTCTGTAAGGCTCCTTTTCTAGATGAATGAACTGAAATAAGTTTAACCGCTAATTAACTGACACTAAAATTTAATTGGGCCCAAAGGGTGAAGCACTCAAAATTCATTAACTCTCCTGCTCTAGCCTTTTCAGGAGAGCTGCACTGTTACTGTGAAGTCTGGCTTCCATGGCAGTTCATTTATCCCACCAGTATAAGAGTACATTCAACTGAAGGCTTAGATTAAGATCTTAAGCAAACAGATTTCTAACATTGTGTGTGTAAGTGAGTATGTGTGCCTGCCACAAGTAATATTTCTCATCCCTTTCTATTTTCTAACATGACTACAGGTAAACCACAGGCAGGATGCCATACAGGAGGTCCATAGTTAAGTGTCTGCTAGGTAACCGAGTCTTTCTAGCCACATTTACAACGGACTTCCTGGAGCACCGTATGCTCTCCCATCACCGAACGGGATGACAGGCTAACATTGGCTGGTGGCTTTTAGTGAATAAGGATCTGCAGGGAAGTGCAATCAGAACAGAGACTACCTCCCTGGCTAACTATCACATCTTCTAGTTTTCATTTTTCTGCTCGCTAAACAAATCTCCCTTTTCCTCCTTTCACATGGTGATTGATTTCATCTATTATTTTCAATTTTGTAAAAATATCTAAGAAAATATTCTAACATATGTCTTCCCTCCAAATAACCTCATTAGGCTTAAATAACACATAGATAACTGGTTTAGAAGAAAGCAATACTGAATGTTTAGGTGCTTATGTAAAAAGCTGATAAAATACTAAGTATAGCTGATATGTCCAATATTACTTTCTTTTTGATCCTTTTGTTAAAAGGGATTAAGTTCAGAAAGCACAATTAAGTAAAAATTTAAAGTTATACTGATTTTCTAAGTTGATAGTAACTACCTAATTGAAAAAATATTTTTTGAATAGAAGTATAGAAAATTTCATAATGTTAGAATCCATGAAAATGAAATGTGTTTAACTAATGCATTTTGTGACATTAAGAGGCAAATGTTCAAATAAGTTTTTTGTTTGTCTAATTTAAATCTGAGTCCTTAAAAATATCAAGCTTGGGGCTGGCCCAGTGGCAAAGCGGTTAAGTTTGTATGCTCTGCTTCAGCAGCCTGGGTGGGGTTCATCAGTTTGGATCCTGGGTGTGGACCTAGCAGGGCTTATCAAGCTATGCTGTGGTAGCATCCCACATAAAAAAAGAGGAAGATTGGCACAGATGTTAGCTCAGGGCCAATCTTCCAAAAAAAGAAAAACAAAAAAATGTAAAAAAACCCCAAAAAACCCCCAAAATATCAAGCTCACTTACCTATGAAAATTGCATTGTGAATATACTTGAAATAATTTATTCACTACTAAATTTGACTTATGTTCATTCTAATATTGAATCAAAATTTTGAGCTACATCAAAAAGATATTTGAAAAACATGAAGAATGCATTACTTTCATTTGATATATTTATCAGAAAATACATTTGTTACCCTTAATTTCTGACTATAGGGGATAGAGACTTCCTTTTTATCTTGAGGGTAATGAAGGATGATCAAATTTAAAAAAGCTGCGACAAGAAAGTCAATCTAGATGTTATTATTCCAAATTTGTTTCTTTCATTACATAGCAGTGATATTCAACACATTATCAAATTATTAATATGTGTTTTAGATATCTTCAGTTATTCTCCTCAATCACATAGAAAATTTATTAATTAGTTCAGAATAAGGTATTGTAACGAGTTATTGGAAAAGTTATGAATTTGTTTAAGGTTGTATTTCTTGGTTAACTTTGTAAATTTCAGAGAAGCTCTTACTTTGGAGAAGGGCATATTCATAAATGGTAAATCAAGAAAACCATGGATTTACAATAATTAAGGGATTATGGCATGTTTCCTCCCTTTATACAAAAATAATTTACATATAGAAGACCATACAACCAATGTTACCTGCATCATAATAACCCTTGTTTTTATATACAAATTAAAAATTCCAAATAATTCATTAACACCATGAATGATAAAGAAATTTACTTTATTTTTTAAAAATAAAAGTAATGAGGTCACAAAATGAAAAGTATATCTGAGAATTGAGTAGAATATGTTGGAAAGAAATAACTTAGATCTAATCTGGCTGAAACTCAAGGGCTAAAATGCCGTGTTACATTGTGGTTTGCAGGAGAGGATCTGGCATGAGACAAACCTGTGGATTAAGGCATAAATCTACACAAAACCCCTGTAACTCTGCACAAGTTCTTAAAATTTTTAGTCTAATTTTCCTTCTCTATAGAAAAGATTGATTATATCAATAATTTGTATCTCATAATTTTGTTATGAGGATTAATTGAGAATAATATAAAGCAATTCTGTAGATTTCATGATATATAATAAATATCCAATGGATGGTTATGATGATTATCATCTTCTCAACATGCTCCCTAATTTTCTAATATTTCCATGTTTTCTCTAGATTTTTAGCCTAGAGAGAGAATATCACTGCTTAAATTTATCTCGATTAATATCTTCCTATCTGTCTCTGGGTCCCAACCTAATTTAAATATTTGAGAAGAGATTTTAGTGACTAAGAATGTAATCATAGAGCAAACTTGAACTAACTTTCTTGTGCATAATTTATGAAATTTGTTTGCAGTTATTATACTTTCTAATTAGAATCATAAATTTAGAGTAATGAAATTTGTATAATTCTTTACATTGAAAATTCACAGACACTTTTCTCTGCTGGTGATAGATTTTAATCTTAAAATTGATATTTCACCTTATATTTTGTAATGTGGGAATTACCTGGAATTATGAACTTGGGGAATAATTAGTAGACATGAACACAAAATCATTAAAATTTATTTGTCCATTTTAGCATGTCTGGAAACTAAATTATCCTTCTTTGCACTTGCAGCTAAGATCCGATTTAGACAATGGAAACAATTCTTTCCAGTACAAGCTTTTGGGAGCTGAGGCTGGAAGTATTTTTGTCATTGATGAAAGAACAGGTGACATATATGCCAGACAGAAGCTTGATAGAGAGGAACGATCCCTCTACACTCTAAGAGCCCAGGTAATAGACACCACCACTGGAAGGGCTGTGGAGCCTGAGTCTGAGTTTGTCATCAGAGTTTCGGATATCAATGACAATGAACCAAAATTCCTAGATGAACCTTATGAGGCCATTGTACCAGAGATGTCTCCAGAAGGTATTGCATATTAATTTACATCAAAGATATATTAACAATGAAAACATATTTAAAATTTCAAACATATGTTTTGGAAGTGAATTATTTAAAGTTCTATACTTGTACTTCCTTCTACAAATACATTAGGTAAACTATTTGAAAAATTACACTATTCATTAAAATTTTGTAAATAATGGTACTATATATTAAATTATTTGTCGTGTTAATATATAATCTCAGTCTTCAAAGCAATAGAAAAAAGGTTAAAAAAAGTTTTACTTGAATGATTTATAAAGTTCTTTAGCATGTTCCCTTACTAGTTTCTTCAATATAAGAATTTATTTTCCAAAAAAATATCTACTTTTGTATCTTAAAATAGCACATAAAGTTATCCTGAAAGAAATGCATGTAAAAATAGGAAAAGCCAATTTATAAGACAAAAAAAGTACTATATACATCAAGACCATGGAATATGAAGACTAAAAACAAAGAGTGGTTGAACACCTCTGTATTCATTTTCAAGTTCCTTTTCAAACCCAATGTTATTTTTATAAATGTTTTAAATATAATACATGTAGAAGAGAGAGCTTTCCATAAGATATAAGAATTAACCTTGGAAATCAGAAATTTGTGTCCAATAGGGGTAAAATTATGGCGTGGCTATGAAAAATTTGCCCACTTATTCTTTCAGTCAGAAAATTTGATAATACAATCTACAGTAACATTTAATTAATAAAATTTACTTGTGATAAACTTAAATTCAACTCAGTAATGGTCATTTTAAATTATGCTATTGTGCTTTAAAACTGCTTTATTTAAATATCTGATTCATTAGCCAGCTAGTCTAAAAATGTATATTCCATTGTATATTTTCCTGATTCTTTATTTTTAACATTTCTGGTATCAATTTAAAGATGTCTTTCTACATGTGTTCAGAATATATGTCTTTAACTACAGCGTAAACAAATTTAGCTGTGTATTATCTGTCAAGACCAATTCTCATTAGATGTAAATGACACGTTAATATTGTTCTATTTCTATTTGGTAACTAGGCAATGAAACAGCTCTTCTTGCCCTCCATCCTCCTCCTCTGCACCCTCCTCCTCCTCTTTCTGCTCCTCCTCCTTCCCTTTTTTCTTCTTCTCCTTCTCTTTCTCCTTCTCGTTCTTCAACAAGCTTATATTGTGGACCTAACATGTTCTAGGAACTTTTCTTTGAAACTGGGGACTCAGTTATAAAGGAGGTATGTGACGTAATTGCTGGTATAAAACATGTTTTAGTTATAACACACAAACAGTAAATAACTATTTTAAATAAGCAAGGTAATAATATTTGATACTGTATGTTACGACAGTGTTTAGTATGGGTGAAGTATGATGATTAATTGATTGGAGGAAGTGGGGATATTTTGGGAGGTGTTATTTGAAGGGAATGGTACAAAGAGGCCAGTCATGTCACTTTCTAAATAAGATTCCCATGGTAGGGTGATGAGGACTGCATATGTCATTATGGGAGTTATTGGCATGTAGCAAACATGTGGAGCATGACAATGGATGAGATCCCCTTGGAAGAGAATGCAGGTTGATTAGACTGTTAAGCAAAAGGGGTTGGCTGGTAAATTACAATGAATGGAATTGGCCAGGGATATAGGAAGACATGAGAAGAGATGTTGCAAAAGAAGAGATTCTCCAACTGTGTAGGAAACTGCTAGGAGGTTGAGTAAAATCAAGAAAAGATACTTGATTTAGCAAGTTGAAGACCCCTAGTGATTTTGGCAAAAGGAATTTGGTTGAATTTGTGCAACTGCAGTATGTTAGAGATTATTCTGTTGCATGAATGGAAGGAGAAGAGGAGGTGGCAGTGAATTTAGCCAACTTTAAAAGATGTTTTGCTACAGGGAGAAAAATAGAGATGTGAGGCACTGAGTAGATGGAGATGAAGATAAAGGGGATTTTTTTAATCATTATTTAATCATTTATTAAGATGGGAAGTTTAATAATACACTTAATACAATAAGCGCTAATACAAGAGAAGAGCATTTTTAAAAGAAACAAACAGGATATAACTACTGGAAAACTATTCCTGAAAGGGAGAGAGCCATTGAATCTAGGGCACTAGTAGAAGGGATAGATTCAGGTAGGTCAACACCTCGGTTGGTAATAAATCAGTTAATGAGTGATTGTTTCTATTTTATCAGTGAAGTCTGAGAGAAAGGCAGGAATTGAGAGTAAAGGGGTGGAATTCTAGATAGAAAAGCCAAGGAACAAAATAGCCATTTTGCATAGTTGGAGAGTAAGCTCATAAGAGGATTACAGTGTGTACGACACAGTATTTGTATCATAGCATCAAGTGTAGCCTCACTGTGGTTGATCGAATAGAGATCACAAAACATCGGTTTCGTCTATACAATATTTGGCTACCACAGATCTCTTTGTACTTTGAATTTCATTACATATTAACCTAGTCAATCTGTGTAACTCAATACACTCTTGTGGGAGTGCCAGTCAGAGTTCAGGCTTTGTATGGAATCATACTACAGTCAATGAGCTCTTTTTATACTTTTCCATGGCATTAAGGGGCCAAAAGAATGGTGGTCAGCTGCTATGAGAAATGTTATCTAATATGGAAATAGGGGAATATTCCTATTGCTCTGTCAAACATTTTCTGTGGTTTCCCTTTGAAGCATTCCTATAATTATTGATTTTCCTTTGAAGAAACCAATTAATAATATTGTATGTGATTTCTGTTTCCCTCAATCTCAGTATTTAATTAATAAATAATGTGGATTCTTTTACTTGAATATAGCCTTACTTCTTCACTTCTTTCCTTATCCATTACCATTTAATAGGTTCTTGAGAGTTGATCTTGCTTCCAAATTCCCTATCCGTGTTTTATCCTTTACAAAGCAACCAGTGCAAACATTTCGTTCTCTGTTGTCTGTCTTAGGTATATTTGTGTTGTATAGGAGTCAACTTCCAATTGTTATATTTGAATCTGTACTTTGAACTTAGAATTTGGTGAATTTCTGAAAGGAATCTACATGAGAATGCCATCAGAAGAGAAAACTAAACTGCCATTGTTTATTAAACATATATTTATTTACAAATAATGATGGGCTTTTACTGATTACACTTATATTTGAAAGGCACTTACTTTCAAAGTAGAACTATCAGTGAAATTGAGATAAAATATTATGTTTTCTCACTTCTCAGTATGGATTTGTAAAGTTATTATCTATCTTTCACACAAAAACATAAGATCTAATAGACCAGGAGCCACATGGCACGTAAAGTTTGGGATGATTGAGTAAAAGAATGAGTGCACAGATGAATGAAAATGCTACATACGTGAACGTACATGATTAGGCTGGTTTGGGAGATGAGTAGAGGATATTAGTGGATGTAAAATCCAGGGAGACTCCAAGGATGTGGGCCAAAGACACATAGTGGTCCAAAGTGCTGCAGGTGGGCTCTAAATAATGATTCCTTAATTCTGAAAATTTCCAGTGCAGAATTACTAGAACTATAGCTAAATTCTTAGAAATCTAGAACCTACCAAGACTGAATCATGAAGAAATAGAAAATCTGAACAAATTAATTACTAGTAAGATTAAATCAGTAATAAAAAACCTCCCTCCTGGGGCTGACCCCGTGGCCGAGTGGTTAAGATCGTGCGCTCTGCTGCTGGCGGCCCAGTGTTTCGTTGGTTCGAATCCTGGGCGCAGACATGGCACTGCTCATCAAACCACGCTGAGGCAGCATCCCACATACCACAACTAGAAAGACCCACAACGAAGAATATACAGCTATGTACCGGGGGGCTTTGGGGAGAAAAAGGAAAAAAATAAAATCTTAAAAAGAAAAAAACCTCCCCCAAAACAAAAGTCATGGACCAGATAGACTTCACTGGTGAATTCTACCAAACATTTAAAGAAGAATTAGCATCAATCTTTCTCAAACTTTTCCAAAAATTTGAAGAGGCTGGAACATTCTCAAACTCGTTTTATGAGGCCAGCGTCACCCTGATACCAAAAGTAGATAAGAACACTACAAGAAAACTACTGGCCAATATCCTTGATTAATAATGATGTAAAATTTCTCCAAAAGGTACTTGAAAACCTAATTCAGCAGCATATTAAAAGGATCATACACTGTTATCAAGTGGGGATTATCTCTGGGATGCAAGGATGGTTCAACATAAGCAAATCAAACATGATACACTACTTTAGTAGGATAAAGGATAAAGATCATGTGATCCTCTCAATAGAGGCAGAAAAAGCATTTGACAAAACTCAGCATTCTTTCACAACGAAAGTTCTCAACAAATGAAGTAAAGAAATAATATACCTGAACATAATAGAGGCTGTATATGACAAGCCCACAGCTGCATGATACTCACTGGTTAAATGCTGAAAGTTTCTCCTCTAAGACCAGAAAAAAAACAAGGATGCCTGCTCTCACTACTTGTGTTCAACATAGTACGGAAGTTCTAGCCAGAGCAATACTCTGGAGCCAAGAATACTTAATGTGGAAAAGATGTCTTTTCAGAAAACGGTGCTGGGAAAACTGAATATTTACATGCAAAAGAATGAAACTGGATCCCTGTCTTACACTACTCATAAAATGAACTTGAAATTAATTAAAGACTAAACATAGACCTGAAATCATAAAACTCCTCAAAGAAAAATCTCATTGAAATTGGTCTTGGCAATAATTTTGGGGGGATGACACCAAAAACAGAAGCAAAAAAAGAAAAAACAAACAAGTTGGACTACACCAAACTAAAAAGCTTCTGTAAAGCAAAGAAACAATCAACAAATTGAAGAGGCAACTTATGGAATGGGAGAAAATATTTCCAAACCATCTATCAGATAAGAGGTTAATATCCAAAATATAGAAGGATCTCATACAACTCAATACAAAAAACAAACAAACCCATAAAAAAATAATCTGATTAAAAAATGGGCAGAAGACCTGAATAGGAATTTTTCCAAAGAAGACATTCACAGCTGACCAACAGGT